TCCCATCACAGCCATTGATCTAGCTACAGCCGAGATATCAGTAGTGTTCAACTGCTTCAATTGACGCATAGTTTGATAGCTGATAGAATGCCAAACCGACGGGTCCCTAATCTGTAAGAGCGAAAGAAAAGCCATTCGATGACCACCTTAAGAGAATTCACACTCGGTAACGACTTCTGATACCGTACGCGGACCAACACTCATTAGATTGAATGAGGCTACCATTCCTCACCTGGGCTCTCGAAATGTACGTGAATTGCAGGGAGATGTCCCGGCTTTCCGCAAACTCACTGACACCGTTCAGTTGGCTCGGTGGAGTGTACAACGCCACGGCGGTAGTCCTCCCACCACCCCGCCTGGTAGACTCGTTGAAGAGTGGATCTCATTGAGGTTCCTGTTAGCAGCCTACCTCCTTCGATGCTTAATCTTGTCGAATACCGAAGCGCTCTCGATGTCACTACTGCCTACACCTCCTAGCGATGGAAACCTCGACGCATGCCCCTCTGTAATGTCTGCTGATGGTAGAGCCGCTAGAGCCTGCTGACAAACATGAGCACTTGGATAGTCTAATATCCCTCACTTCTGCTGCCGACGAGAATCGTACATGGCTTACGCTCTTCGTTATGGTACGGGGATGGAGGGCATCGAGGGAGACTGGCATGCAGGGGCAAATACTACTTCGATGAAACCCGACTATATCCCAATAATGGGGCCTACTCGAATGAGAAGGGAACTGTACGGTGTGGACAAGAATGGAATTAATGATGCATCAAGGTGATGACCAAAGCATCACTGAAATGAGGCGGAGTTCTTGTTATTGTTGGGTGAATAGAGAGACTCGAGTTCCGGGCTACTCAGATAAGATCTACCTTACATATCAATGACACTTGCCGAGAAGACAATGATCATTCAGTGAGCGCTAGGATGGAATAAAATGCATAGTCAGTGCTTCCCAACCTGCCTAAGTTAGTAGGTACATGCAACAGCCGCTGGGCTCATTGGGGTACGACGAGTGTCCAAGCCATGCTCACAGTCGCCGGGATGGGTAGGTCCCACTGTACGCAACACAGCCAGTGAAAAGAAACATTAAAAACATATCATTCTAATGCATTGGTGCGACGTTGGTGATTTTTATCATCATCACCAACAGCAGCAGCTGCTGGTGCTGGACCCATCTCCACATCTCTAAGGTGTGGGGCCATTTCCGTTGCCTTCTCTGGTAGACGGTCCTGTAGTCGGTCCATGGGCACTGACACCAATGCTACTCCAATGACAATGAACGGGAAGAAAACAACCTGTGCGAGACGAGGGGCAATGTGAACGGTCTCCCGCACTCACACTGACCTGCATGAATGATGGGACCTCATGTTGGAGGCAATACTGCACAATGGCTGTGGTGATAGGCTGTAGTGTCATGAAGCTAGCTACCTTCAGGGAGGACGACTTACTAGGTATATGGTGAGGATGGCCACTACCCCTTACCACAGAGGGAGACGTCTGCCTATTACACCAGTTCATAGCACAATAGACGAAGCATGTAGCCAGTAGGACAGCATAGAGCAAGAGCCAGCAGCCTGATGACGAGGATAGCCAAGGATCTAGAGAAGGGGGGTTGTTACCCTGAGAGGTCCAAGATCCTGAGTAAGTCAGGCCGAAGGTGAGCACTCCGCAATGCAAATCCAAGGCCACACATGTACCACGCCAACTGAGGTTGCGAGGATGGGAGGTTAGAAAACACGAGAGGAGGCTCACCTCAACAACAAGAGTAGGGTGATGATGAAGCCGCCGAGATAGGAATACCCTGAGTAGATAGCCAACCGATAGAGGAGGGAGGAGAAGAACCCAACTGAATTGAGGCGGCTACCTGTTAAGTAGGGTGGGGAAAGATGACGAAGACCACGCTGGAGAACTATAGCAGATGAAGTTAAGATGCATTGTATGAGGATGAGGGATCCTCCTAGTAACACAGGCCAGTCCACTGGATGTGTATCTGGACACTCAGAGAGCGGCAACCCAGAGAGCGGCAAGCATCTACCATCGATGTGTTCACCGCTGATGACAGCACCAACCGCTGCTACAACACATGCGATAACGCCAGTAACCCTCCTTCTGGAGTAGGCCTCGGTCCGACGCAACACCCCCAGTGCATAGGCGAAGACCAATACTGTTGGCTGTAGCATAGAGGCTATTAATGCACTCGATAGCTCCAAACCTATACTAGGTGGCATACACTGTAGCATAGAAGAGGACCCCAACCTACCAATGAGGAAGGCTACTGTCGATGCACCTGTAGCAGCACCAAGATATATCAATAGTGGGAGGTCTGCCCTAAGGGGTAGCTTGAATGTACGGTCAACACAGCATAACAACACTGCTGCTGCCAGACCTGACATGTGTATAGTTGGTATAGGGAGTAGTGACGTATTGCCTTGCCGATAGAGAGAAAACGTTAGAGGGTTCAACTCTCCTCTCATGAAGATAAGCCTCCCTCCAACCTGCCATCCCGACAATATGAACATTGTTATGAGTAGGAGGCCATACGCCTTCGAATGTGTTGGGAGTTGTGGAGGAACGGCAGCGGCGGCACGACATAGTGATCGGAGCTGCAACATGATACTACAAAGGAACCACCAATGCCTGCTTACATACAGTATGGTGAGAGAACGAATTGCGGCACTTCACACGAGTGAATCGGAAAGATCTCGAGCGGTAGGGCGGCACAAGGTGGTGACCAGATGGGGAATAGAAAGAGGAGGGAAATTTCAATCCAAAACTGTCTCGAGTCGGTGCACCGTAGCATATACTAGGAATAGAGCTGGTGGACAATCGAGCGGGAAAAATGATGCAACATGGACCACCCCAAGATGGCACTGAGGGCATCAGCAAGGCTGCAGATGAAATAGAGAGCCATCGAGAACGCTTCTTACACCGTCTTATTGCAACATGGCTCCCTTCTCTAGAGCAGTCTAGTATCCGCAAGTACACATCTCAGCACCGGACAATAATGCTCCTTGCTTGACAACAGATCGTCATGACTAGAGCGGAGTAAGCCGGAAGAATAGCTGTTGCGTACCAATGACGGCAGCGTGAAGCCCTCCGAGTGAATAAGGGCGTACACCTCTATTAGGCAGGATACGAACGGTGGGTGGATTCGGAAGGCAGAGCACGGTAAGGGGACTGACTGAACGCTTTCAACATCCGAGTAGCTCACCATGTTACGAGTCCCCGTATAAGCTTGCATCACTGTAGAGGCTCCTGCTCCATGTATTCCGTAGCTCGGATGATATTCTATTACCGGAAACACGTACGGTTCTAAAGTCCTGTGGTCTCACCTCGGCGAATCGAGCGCTGCTCAGCAAGTATCACCGACCTCTCCCTGGTATTACTCTTGCCGCCATCGTCAATCCTTCCTGCACTTAGAAAACCCTCTACTTTAACGCTGGAGTCCTGGCATCCATCTCAGCACCCTCGTATGGTGACGAAGATGGGAATTATCCTTCAAGATGCTGTACAGTAATATGAGCACTACCTGTTGGATTATTATCCAGCACTATACCGACTATGGTTAAATCTATAACACCACTGCTGAAAGTACTCCAGACTATGTGGAGAATCTTCTCATAACATCGGGCGCGCGCGGTTGCAACGGCGCACCTTGTAGAATACTGAAGTCCAACGATAGTCCTACTACTCTTCAGTTCCTTCTACTTCGTTGACCATGACAGAGGAGATAGATCGCCATGTTTTGAGGAAGTAACTACTATGCTGTTGTGGCCTCGGGTATGATGAACAGGTACGAGATCGTACAGAAGTTGGGTCGAGGGGCTTACGGTATCGTATGGAAGGCTATTGAGAAACGTAGAAGCTTGTTGTAGATCTCATACGAGCTATAAATCAGGTACACGTGAAGTAGTTGCCTTGAAGAAGTGCTTCGATGCCTTCCAAAACGCTACTGGTGACCATTCGGCCATAGTATGTGGGAATACACATAGCTTACTTGTAGATGCTCAGAGGACCTTCCGAGAGATCATGTTCCTACAGGAGTTGAATGGTCATGATAACATTATTCGGTATTGGTAGTAGTACTAGAAGTGGTGATGGAGACCTCAGTTTAGGCTCCTAAACGTGCTTAAGGCGGATAATGACCAGGATATATATATAGTATGTGATTATATGGAGAGTGACCTTCATGCAGTTATAAGAGCTAATATACTAGAGGATATACATAAACAGTAGTCCGACCAGGAATCGAACTCGGGTCGAAATTCGTATGGTAGATACATAATATATCAACTACTGAGGGCTTTGAAATATATGCATACGGGCCAGATGCTCCACCGAGACATCAAGCCGTCGAATATTCTCCTCAACTCAGATTGCCAAGTGAAAGTGTGTGACTTTGGTAACCATATCACAGTCCTTCTACGCTTCCTATCAACCCGGCATCGTGGTTCTATCTCAGGCCTGGCACGCTCAGTCGTACAGATGCAGGATGCTAGTTCTAATCCGGTGATAAGGCCTAAGCCGTTATCCTTCCGTCGTGTGCCGTCTTCCTCGTCCCACCATCTCTTGGGGTGTACCCACCCGCCCTTCCTATCAGGTCTTAACGGATTATGTGGCGACGAGATGGTACAGAGCTCCTGAGATATTGCTTG